ATCAAACCTCTTCGGCCTAGGATTGAGATCGAGTTCTCGAGTCAACTCGAGTCCAGACTCCAATATCCCTGGATTAAGGAATATACGTTAAGTTATAGTAGGACCCCTCATACGACTTAAGGTCTATTCCTTCATTAAGGGATAGCCCCTACCCTGTTTATTAAGTCCCCTGTCTTACAGCAGCCGGCCTCGACCGTCGCAGTGCTGTTTGTATCGCTGTATAGACACCAAGCTACAAATCCTCGCGCAAGACACCTCACCTACAACCACTAACCCTAGAGATCTAAGGCCTCATATATTAAGACCTTTGGGCCCAAAGCCCATACTATATAAGGCCTTTGGGCTATTTTGACCCCTGGGGTAATAGCATGAAGAGTATAAGTAGATGAAGCTCAGGCTCAGCATGCTACGAATATGCAGTGCCTCGTTACCTAAGCAACTCCTGCTCGGGCAATCGCAACCTGCCAGGGAGCCGTGGACCCTGAACCTCCATAGTTGGAATAGGGTTTTGGGCCCATAATACTATAATTAGTTGGTAACTAAGACCCCTATATTGAACCCGGAATCGGCAGACACCCTCCCAATGGTCCTCTGATCGTAGGCCTCTTTCATCACCTGCGTTGAGTCTTTCAGCGAAGTGCGTTTGTTCGGGCTTGCAAGAAAATTATTAAACAATGTGGCGCAGCTATCGACTGTGCCTGCCTCCCGGTCGGCTCACCCTCCCTTTAAAGGGATCTACAGGGACCCTGTAAGGGTTTAGGGTTTAGGGGGCTTAGTAACTGGTTATTTTAGGGACTTATAAGTATCTGTCGCTCTCGCTCTCTCTCTCTCTCTTCCTCTTTCTTTGCTTGGCTTGAGGTATAGGCTGCAGCAGTTCGTTCGCTTCGCTTCGCAGGGGTAAAGTTCGCTAGGCGAACCCGGGCCAAGGCCACCCCCCTTCCCCATTTTTTTTGAGGTGGAAGAGGGTTTAAGGTGTTCAGTGGTCGGGACTTTCCCCCAAAGGCAGGTGCGGCTGGTGGTGTGTGCCTGGCAAAGAACCGACCCTCCCCGAACTTTAGCGCGCATCCCGGCCTCATCGCCGCGCTCTCTAAAGCCACATCCTTAGTCCCTTCGCCAGGCACATCCCCCACGCAGCGGCTTGTGCCTGGTTCCCCGCCTAGTCAGTTCGTTCTCTTTCTCTCTCTCTCGTTGATGACTCTCGGTCGTTGAGTACTTCTGCTACTACAGCTTTTCGATGATAAAGATCGCCGGAAAGCTCGATTTGTGACATGGTGTCAGTTGTTCTTGCACCGCTGCAACTTCCTACAGGCAGTACCCGTACGCCTACTACCACTCTTTGCCTACTACGTGATAGCAGGCTGCTCGGCGGCCTCCCTCCCTAAACCTTAAACCCTAAATCCTAAACCCTAGACCCTAAACCCTAAACCCCTAACCCCCTAAACCCCTAAACCCCTAACCCCCTTAAACCCCAAACCTAACCCCTACTTTCTACGGACGTCTCAGCTTTCGCTGGGCTTCGACTCCAAAGTTGGGCCCTGCAAGGACTACGGCTTGTTGCAGGATCGTTGAACTGAAGGGGTCCCCTCGCCACATATATAGAACAAGTGTTCCATTACATGCCACAATATCAGGGAACCGAACGGCTCTGCATCATGGCATGGGTATAAAGAGAATTCTTACCCGGTGCCTTGAAATCGCCTCTTCCCATCTCAACCTGTTCCGCATCTTCGGCAAGGAGGTCGGGGCGTTTAGGGCTGCAGGGTCTTATGTTCGGGCTTTATAGGGTCTACAAGTTTCATAAGTTTAAGTCCTTACTTTCGGGCTTTAGGGCGAAACTAATCCACAAGATGTCGGCTGCACCTTGATGTCGGCTGTAGGCTGAACCCTCAACCCTAACCCTCTCCCGAAGTTCTACACCCCTACCAGTCTACCGGAGTTGAGGGCGTACACGGCCTTAATTTGGGGTCCTTGTGTAGTAGGGTACTTTTTTTTAGGGTCCCCTATTTCGGAAACCCCCAACTAACGGGGCGCAAGAGGAGCCCGCTACTGGTATTCTGGATTATTGCTTTCTCCTGATTATGAAACCTTGGGCCTTTATGAGGGTTCCTTATAATATAAAATATAAAAACCTACTATTTTTTGGGGGGTTATAGGCCCAGGGTTTCTGAATCAGGTTCCCACATTAGAATCTTTGAGGGATCAAATCTGTTTCGCTCATGGGTTTAAGCAGGTTTTAATGCAGGGTGGCTCAATGCTTAAGGAATTCGAAGGGCTCGCGATTTTCACTCGGGGTCGTGCTTCTTGGAGCTCACGGCGCCGGAAAGGATGGCGCTGGTAAAGATAGAAGACGATTCAACCATGAAGATCGGGAGAAAACACACAGTCTTAGAAGACGGCCCATCGCTGCCCTCCTTGTAGCGAATGAAACACAGCGACGATCCACTCCGGGTGTTGATCGTTTTTATCAAATCTGCATTCACCGTAAGACTTGCGAAAATGCAAGAGCGAGGTCGAGGCACGGCCAAAAAACTCGCAGTGACAAGCTTTGAATCACTGTACAAGCTTTCCGGGGCAGAGGTGTGCTTATAAGGGAGGTGTTCGAAACCCTGGGAACCGGATCAAAACCCCTGACCCAGAACGCTTTACTGCCTTTGTCTGGTATATACACATACATACATACCTACCTACATATGCATGTATGTATATGTAAATATACAAACCATGTATATATATATATACTTTATCAGGCAGGTCGTAGTTAGTTCTCGCAGACACACAGGTCCCGAAATGCTGAAACAAACCCCAGGACCTCAAAACATCATCAACGGCTCAGGCAACCTAAGCCTAAGTCCCACCTCGAGAGCCTCTGCTCGATCCTCCATCTCTTCGGGGAAGTAGACCTGTTCGGGCTTCGGGCCGTTTGGGCTTTCAGGGGTTTTGGGTTGCCGGTTTTCGGGCTTTGGGGCCAAGGGGTCAGGGAGTTTTGCACTCTCGCAACTTCGACTTATATAGCGTTTAGGATTTCGGGCTTTTTCAAACATAGGGCTTGAGGCTTCAGGCTGTGGGGTAGTGTACGCTTTGGGTTCAAAGGCTGTACGGATGGGGCTACGAGCTTCCAATATAGGCGCCTGGATACCTTGAGTGCGCTTCAATTGCGGATCCATCCACAAACTTAAGCCTACTATTTGCTTAAGAAACACACAAAAAATAAAAAGTCCCTATATTACACCCATAAGGAATATATTTTTTATTTTTGGGGGGTTCTTAAGCAAATACATAGTAGAAGCACAACCCACCCAATCCACCGCGACCTGGACCTATTCGGAATCGTGGCGGGCTTGGGGGTTCTCATGGCGACACTACACCCCAACCCGTAGCCGACATATCCCAGCCCCTAGACTCCGAACTCTGAAACCACAACATGTCAAAGAATGAACCACATAAGCTCAATCTCAAGACCCCCGCTTCCCAACTCCGTACCTTCTGCAATGTAGTGACTCTATACCCCCCTACACCCCGAAGTTGCACCTCAACATCCTCCACTTCCTCTGGCACTTCGACCTGTTGAGCAGCTTCTCTCACTCCCACCAAGTCTGCTCGATCTTCTCCTTCCTCCTCCTCCTCGAGAAAGTAGACCTGTTCGAGTTTAGGATTTTAGGCTTGTTGGAAGCTTATGGAGCAGTAGACCTGTTCGAGTTTAGAGCTTTTAGGGTTGAGCGAGGGGGGTTGCAGGCACCGTAAGATGATGGGGCTTAAGCGGCAGGGCTTAAATTTTCGCCTTAAACCCTAAACCGTGGTGCTGGGCGACATGAAAAGCTGGGCTCAGCTCGGCCTCTTGCATTTTGATGCATTTTGTCAGCTTTGCTGTCAATACGCGGCTTGGGGTTTAGGGGTTTGGGCAACAGCGCAGGTCCTGAAGATCCCGCTTGGGAAGGCGGATTTAGTGCTTTCGTGTTGCTGCCGTTCTGGAGATGATCGTTCTCAGAATGGGGACAGTCCAAGGGTAAAAGGAGGGACCCTTAATAAGGACCCCTAGGTATATACCCTTACTATAGCTATTATATACCCATTATATGGTCCATTATAGGGCAAGGGTCCCCATTAAGGGTCCCTCCTTTGCCCCTTTGAGACAAGGGAACTCGATAGGGCTGTGCGCCAAATGTACAGGCGGATGCTCACCTCTCGGAACCTTCAGGCCACGAGGTGCTTGAGATCTCAGGGCATCATATTGCGTCAAAGTGAAAAGAACAAGTGTTGGAATCAGGGCCGAAACCCCTCACTTGACGACTGATCCACGACTCTAAACCCCTGCAGCTGCACTGTGCCTCCACTTCTCGGGGCACTTCGACCTGCAGTTCAATCTCTCTCTCTCTCTCTCTGTTTTCGGGGTGTACATATACATATACATTGTTGTCTCTCTGTCTCTCTCCCTCGAAGCGATGTCATACTTGCTGCGTTGCTAATGCTGGTTGGAACACTGGGCAGCATCTTTCGGATTGACAGCCTGGATGCATGCATGCATACATGTGCGTGCAATCCCATGGGGAGGGCCGTTGCCAGACTCTCTAACAGGAACCTTTATGGGCTAGACGGCTGCATCAAACAACACCCATCGGCATGAAATGTGCTATATGAAGCCAAAGACATCTCTTAAACATTCAAGTCAAAAGAAACCCTACGAATCGCAAAGAGCCCAAGCATATGTCCCGGCGCGAAATTCTGGGGAAAGGCTTCAGAGCTTGAGGAAGCCACTTGCTTGTATTGTTGCATTGGTATTGGTTCGAGTCCTAGGACGATTGTTATGTATTCCTTGAGATAAACTGCATAGCGTGATCACAATCATGAACAAGACTCGTGGTGACTGGCTGAGTATTATTTACATCGTTAGACGTGGTTTCGGCTTGTCGCCACCACGACTAATCGGTACGGCCAAACACAATAGAGGTGCGCTGCTTGTTTTGTAGAAGCCTCTGAGTGGCCCACGATGCGAGGCAGTTCGGAGACTGGGATAATCGGACAGTAGAACGGATGGAGCCCATTTATGCCTGATGATCCACAACCTCAACACTAAAACACGAAATAACAGGGTGCACAGCTTAGGTTTCAGGGCTTGTGGAAGTTGGCTCCTGTATGCGAATGTGTACATAGCATCGCACGAACAAGATCACACGTTGCCTTGTTGGTATGGTCCGCAAACTAAGCGAACCAAGCAAGACAACAACTACTCTTGAAGGAAAACGAAGCATGAGAAGGACAAACGCACGCTTACCGGCGATGACGACGACAACAGGAGCAGAGACATGGACTACCACGACAACAAGCAAATAAACCGAAGAAACCCAAAACCTCATGATGGCAATCAGCACAGAAAAACACAAGAAGCGACACAGACACAGGAACGGCAACGTAACAACCAGCTCATGCAATCGTAGCAGACACATACATACAAAGGAACGAGACTATTTACGGCAAAACACTACATCAACAAAAACCAACCACAACTTCGACTCGCAAAGAAGCCTGTAGGCATCTGTAGGCTTCTAAAACCTGTTAGGGCTTGGTGCATATATATATATATATATATAGAGAGAGAAAGATTTGTTGAGCTATTCATTTAGATTATAACTTAGATTATATTGCTTTCTATTCTGTTCTGTTCTGATATACTATGTTTTAGTTCTACTATATGTGTAGATATCATTAGATATCTATATATGTACTTCGGGTTGGGTTTACTAGAGGTGGCTTTGGGTTTAATTAGTTGGGTTTTTTGGTCTTTGGGTTTATTGCATCCGGCCTCCTTTTTGGCCTCCTTGGTGACCTCCTTTCGCTTCAGTGGAGGGTCAATGTCGGCCTGGACGAACCGAAGCACGACACACGCAGGGCGCTTCATGTGCACGGTGACAGAAGCGGCGAAAGTTCATACTGATCCAGTGGTACTGATCGTGAACTCCGGGCATTAGAAAAGGCCCTAACCTTTAATACCCTAAACCCTGGCCCCTTTCAGGCTTCTGCTGCCTCTGCCAATCGGCGTCGCATCCGCCAGTAAAGCCTGGAATGCTTCAGCGTTGCTGTTTTTGTTTTGTGGTCAGAGTTTCCCGCTTGTTGCTCCCGCTGCCGTAGGCTGATGTTCAGGGTTTCGGCGCTCACACTCGGACAGGGCTTGAGGCTGAGATTTATTCGGGTTTAGGGCTTTAGTTGCTTGATATTGTTGCTTCTGCTGTTTTTGGGGAAGGGTTCTCGGCTAATTTTGGAGGATTGTGGCAGAATGGATTTTAGGGCTACCAGACAAGCCAATTTGTCTACATTTGTCGTTGCTGGCCACAAATTACGGAAATGACGTCAGTGTGAACAAAAAACGTCGCATCGAGCTCACAGTCAGCCACCATCACGGGACCTGGATGTAGGTTTAAATCTACAGTGTGGGCAGGGCCCTGTTGCTTTATGTGGTACTGTTACTGTCTTGAGATATAAACAATGTGCATACTCTCCACATTACCAGCACTACCCGCCGCTGACGACGTCGATGCCGTTGACACCGCTGATGACGACGCCGCTGACGCCGCTGATGCCGTTAACGTCGTCAACGTCGTCGACGCCGTTGACGCCGCTGACGCCGTTGACGCCGCTGACGCCGTTCGTCAACGACGTCGATGCCGCTGTCGCCGCTGACGCCGCTGACGCCGTTGACGCCGTTAACGTCGTCACGCGCTTCACGTCGTCGCGGCAAAACTCACGTCGTCACGTCGTCACGCGCTGCGCCCCAAAATTAGCGCAGCTATGGACATCTGACATCAATGTAAGAGTCTGCGAACTCAGATGTTAACGTTGAGTTTGGCGTCTAGGGCTAGCGGCACTTGTCAAAGCCAGGCCTTTGACTCTGGGGGTTTCTGATCACACACACACACACACACCACACACCACACACCACACACCACACACCAACACACACCAACACACACCAACACACACCAACACACACCAACACACACACACACACACACACACACACACACACACACACACACCGATTTCGACTCTCAAGCTCGATCAAGGCTCGCAAGGTTTCACGACTGGTCCAACCGGACAGTTCACCCCTTTTCTTGTTCATCGAGGTCGTTCCAAAGTGCCTCAACCCTTAACCCCTCAAGTGCCGTGGACTCAGGTCCAGCCAGACGACGACCTGCATTCATCTAACTCACTGGCCCAAAACCCAAGGAAACGAAAGTGGACACTTTCAGAATCGACTGCTTAAAAAGAACCCCAAAAGTTGAAAAGTTGTGTTTACAGCCAAGAAGCTAAACCCTAAACCAGAGCCAGGCCTGCCAAAGGCCTACACACTTGTCAGCGCAAGAGCCCTCATAGAGCACCCGGAATAACACCCCCGACCCGAAAGCAAGCCCATACCGACAAACCACGTCATGCTGACCCAATAGCAAGCTCTCAACAGCACACCAGTTCACGGTTTGGGGTTCAGGGCGGGGGGGACAGATAGAGAGCAGGCAGGCAGGCGGCAGACAAGCATACCAACAAACGGACAGGCAAAGAGAAGTGATTTATTCACAGAGCTGAAGTTGCGCAGAAATCCTAGACATATACTTTTGTCGTCGAGTCGGCCGTTTCATCTCTACAGAAACATCCTCACAAACTAGTACAGTACCAGGAGGTCCACTTGTGTCAAGCCTGAGCCTCCCTGCCCTGGCATCCACTCAACATGAGCAGATATGGAAGTTTCCGAAATTAGGGGACCCTAATATAGTACCCTAAATTTTTGCTGCACTGTGTGTCTAAGGCCGCGACCTGTCGACGATACTAAGGTAAAGCCGGTAAAGCCCGATTCGGCGAATTATCGGAAAGGATAATCATTGATAGCACGGAATATTGCGGAACTGCGCCATGTCAGGCATCCACTTTGTGCTCAGCTTGGAACCGTCAGGAGTAAATTGATTGCAGAACAAGCCAGCTTGTAACAAGACGAAAAGCTGATGCTGAATGTTCTTGCAGTGCGCAAATCCGTAAAATCCGCTGAGGTTTCTCATGCCAAAAGATGCTGCTGTTCGAATATGTGATGCTGGAATATAGTACCCTAAATAGCAGGATCCTTATTATAAGGACACCTGAATAAGGTACCCCCAATTTTCGGAAACTCCCATATCTAACTGCCTTGAAAGTTCATAGATAATTCTTTGGAGTGCACTGCAGTATCATCCTCTTCGGAATCCTACGGCACAGCATGAGGCCCCCCCCGCAAGAAGCGACATTGCCAAGCGTTGCCAGGCGGCGCTACGAAGATCAACACCAATAAGCAGATAGTGGTCAGGATGCAGGCGATGATCACGCCAACCGGCAGCACCGCTGCCTCCGCCTCTGCCAGTCTGGCGCTGGTGCTGGTAGCAGTGGTGCTGGTAACCGTGGTGTCGGTGCTGGTGGCAGTCCTGGGCGATCTATGCGTAAAGGAACCGTGCAAAAGGGGCTCTCGGGCTCTGAATCTCTGCAAAATTCGACTTTTAACTGAAAGCACCAGCCGACTAGCGCCCATTAGGCGAAACCTCAACTCACGTTTTTGCCGGCATCACGAGTGCTCAAGTTGGGGTGTAACAGGCCCATCGAAAAGACACAGTCGACGACGTGACGCCCGCTGCAACTTCGGTTTTGGGTCCTCTGAAAGATGATGCCTGCGTCAAAGGCTCTACTGGAGCCTCAGTGTGTCTTTGAACCTTGTAACCCGCAGCAAGTACCACAAACACGCACGTGGTTCCTGTTCTGTTTTTAATTGCGTGTATATCTTCCTAGATATTTGAAGACCCTGAACTCGGGAGCCCGTGAAAGGGACCAAACATGTGGGTGGTTCTCTAGAGTAGGGGCGGGTCCCTTTTCAGGTCCCCACAAAAGTACGGCACCCTTCTTAAACAGGACCCCAAAAAGGGACCCCTAATTTCGAGAAGTACACATGTAGCAGAAACGCAGCGCATGGCATCAACAGTCCACTCTTGCCAGCCCAGGGTCGTGGACACGTCGTTCATCACCACTGCTTGGACAGTCACCGTGACATTTTCCTTGTGGTGCGCATTGATGAAATCGGTCAATAAATGCTGCTGCTGCTATTAACACCAGCAGCAACACATTTAAGTGATAGATGATACAGCGGAGCGTTCCTCACTATTAAATATACCACAATACGCCTTCCGTAATTAAGTAAAACCCCTTTAACCTCAAAAACTCATGTTGTAGAACCCCTGTAAAAACCCTCAAACGACCCCCATTCTCATTGCCAAGCACCTCTAGGCCGCACGAGGTACCCAACCCGCCCCGTGCTTAGCAAACAAATCGAGAAAGATGCCGGCAACAAACAGGAGTACCATTAGCAACATGACGGTCCAGTAGGGCCTATAGAAAGTAGATACTCTAATTTGGGGCCAAATACTACTAAGGGTATTTTATAGGAACCCCCCATTAAGGGATCTAACTTGGCCTAAGCAACCAGAAAAAAAACATGCTCGCACCGGCGGCATCCATGAAGCTCAGTGGCCCAAAACCCAAGAGAATAAATGTTGAAACTTTAGAATCGACGACCTTATAAGAACCCCAAAAGTTGAAAAGTTGAGTTTTTCTAGCACTCGCACTCGACAAAGCAGGCGAGGTATGTGGGGATGAACCGACTTCCAGGAAAAGTTGAGTTTACAACCCCCTCAACCCTAAAACCCTAACAGCCAATAAGGAAGGCAGAGATCCCAATACCCTTAACTAAGGAATATACCTTAAATCATATTGTAGGACCTCTACACTTTAAAGTATATTCCTTAGGGGTATTGGGATCTCTGGGGAGGCAGGCAGGGAGCCAAGGCTTCGAACTTCTGCATCTCTTGGTTGAGGAGTTGGGATGCTTGCTCCGGTGGCAGCCTGAGGCCCAAAGTGAGCTCAGCATGTGGTTTGTCGTTGCCCTTTTTTGGTGGGGCCCTCTTGAGAGTTTAGGGTTTTGGGTTTAGGAAAAGCACGGCCTGAACTGACGGACTTGGGTTGAGGAGTTAGCTTAACTGTCCCTCCTCAGCCCCTCCCTGTCTCAGGTGAGTCTTTCCAGCAATGCTTGTGCTTCCCAACCGTGAGGTCAGCGAAACAAGATGGAAGCCAGCTACAGCCCACTTCTCTGCAGACATTGCAGCATCTGTTTGCCACAGACCCTGAACCATGTGTCTGTGTGAAGTGTCGTCATCGTCGACAAGGCGTGCCAACACACTGAAGCTAGAGTCAGAGGAAAGTCTTCCAAACAGAAGTACAAACAACTCGCGAACAAAAAACTGTGCGACATTCCTATGCCCCATGTATGTCATGATGATGTACAGCAAACTCAGGGATGTTTTGAGACTGCCCTCTACCACAGCACTCGCTGCTGGCGACTCGCTCAGTTCCGAATCTCCGGCTTCCCTCAAGATCCCTCAAAACCAAGGCACAACTCCAGCGTGCCGCTGACATTTTGTGCGACAGCTTGACGGTCGGGAATGTACGGCGGGATGAGCACAGCCTGAGGGTCCAGGATTCAGTCGGAGATCAATGCTTGAGCTGTTCTGACGAGGGTGTAGGACCGTTTTTGTGCAGACTCTACGATGTACTAATTGCTACTACTACTACTACTACTACTACTACTACTACTACTACTACTACTACTACTACTACTACTACTACTACGACGACAAATACGACCACTTCCGCTCCCTCTGGCAGAACCACGACTACCTCTGTTCCTGGAACGAGGGCGGCGGCTGTCGGCCCAAAGATTCGACAGATGCCGGTGCGAGTTGAAACCTCAAACTCTCACGGCGAACATGTTCGGCCGAAGCTCTGGCGATCTCTGGTGTTTCAGGGTTGTGGGCTTCGGATTTCTAGACCCACCCTGAAGCGTAAACTGCCGTAGACCGACCGCTAAACCCAAACCCCCAAACCGCTGCCGCGTAGCAAATATGATGGAGATCGAGACAGTCCGATTCGAGAGCAAGTCTTGGAGACGCCTTCGGCCCAGGAGGCTGGGTCGTGCTTTTCCATGGTCTCGGCTTTAGTTTAGAGGTTCAAGGGCTTAGGGGTTTAGGAGGGGTTTAGGGTTTTCATAGTCTTAGGGAATTTAATTAAGGGGATTAAGGGTCTAGGGGTTTCGGCGCTCACACTCGGACGATCCAAGTTTAGGGGTTTAGGGTTGTCATAATCTTAGGGAAAGGTCTTGGGAGTTTTGCCGAACTGCCATCATCTGCATGGCCTTCGGAGTTAAAGATGATTGCGATTGGTTCAACAAAATGAGCGAAGGACCGGGGGCGTTGGGCCTAGAGTCTGCAGCTTTGGGGTTTTGGGGCTGGAGTGCAAGCCATGGGTTGAACTAGCCCAAGCAACTGACGGGAAAGAGATCAGGCTGAAATGGGCCTCGTTTGTTCAGCCGAGTTTTGGGGTTCGTTGAAGTTTACCTATAAGATCCTATAAGCATTACGTGGGAAGCGCATGCAGCGTTTAAGGGGAAATCATGACAATGCAGGCGTCAGCTGACACAAAATTCAAGATGTCTCCTTCGACTGTTTTTCGCATGGCCAACCCCCAAACCTCCTAAGTTGAGAGCACCGACAGAGCTCCTAGGGTTTAGGGTGCCAATCATGGAGGCTACGCAGGCTTCCTTGAGACGGCTTCGGATCTTTGAACCCCTGCAAGCAAACGCCGGCTCAGCCCACGCTCCAATAACTCGACCCGAGAACCTGGCTGCAGATGATCAGCATGATCCCAAACCCTCAACTGCTGCACTCAATTGCACTCAATGAACTGCGCGAAGAAGGTTCTGAGTATGGGTTCATTCGCCCCAGCTACAAAACGGAACCCTAACCCCAAAATCTGGGAGTTTTGAGGGCTTTGTGGTACTTCGGTCAGCCTGCGACAGCCCTGCCCAAACGTCGTCGACACATGATGGACCTCACAAAGGCAGCCGCTCAGGCTTGTAAGTCACATCCCGAATCCGAAGAGTTTGGGGGTTTGGGTTTGGATTTAGGTTTTGCAGAACCCTCTGACGAAGCAGAGCAGGAGCGCCCTCGCCTAGAACTCCCCGACCGTCAGATAAAGCTTCTACCCATAGGCTCCATTGTTGTTCATTCTTGTGGTTAAAAATAGGATCCTATAAGGTAATCCCAAAAAGGCACTACTGTGGAGCCCATAGGCACATCATAAATTGTGACGCGCTCAATAAAGCAAGGCAAGGACGCGCAAGGCCCAGGCTGCTTTGCAATGCTCTAAGCCTCCAAACTGCAAACACCACACTCCCCAGGCGCACGTACTCGGGTTGGATCACAGCACCCGCTGCAGATGAAACAGCGGCTTGTATAGCCTGCTGGGACTTATCGTGGCTTCTGGTGTAAGGCTTAGGGCTTCGGGCTGGGATGCGCCAGTTTGCCGAAACACCGGACATGCCATAAGGGACGCTGGTATGATTGGAACCCCCCTGTTCGGCGTACATGAGTCTATACTGAACTTAGAACCCTAGCAAAAATTTTAATTTTAGCTGTTTCTTGGGGATTATAATAACAAAAAATTAAAAATTTCTAAGTACCCCTATGGAGTGGCTAGGTCAAGCTTCTCCAATGATCCCCCTGAAGTTGCCAAGGGACCTGTTCTCCGTCTTGCGGTGTAAGTCCAAGGGTAAAAGGAGGGACCCTTAATAAGGACCCCGAGGTCTATACCCTTAATATAGCTAGTATATACCCACTATATAGCCCATTATAGGGTAGGGGTCCCTCCTCCTTTTCCCCTTTTTGAGTAAAGGCTCCAAGAAGCTCCAAGACAAACAGGAAGGAGCGTGCTGCTACAAGCGGTTTAAGCTGTCTCATGCCCAAAGCAAGAGCAAGCTTTCCGATGGGTGTCTTCAGGGGTTTTTGCACATGGATTTTGCTCGGTTTACCCCCTCTCTCTCGGACCATCCAAAGGAGGCCGGATTGCATGCAGCTCACGTCGCAGTTCAACCGGGACCTTGAACACGAATGCGCCCACACATCCGAAGCGCTCATTTGCAACCGCTTTTGCGGGTTTATTACACCATACAGTAGAAGCCAAAAAGGTTGGACACCCAATAGCCTCAATCCTTAAGAGTAATGTATAGGGAATCCCAGCACTATTTGGCCTTAATCCGGTTTCCAACTCTTTGGGGTTTACGATAATAATCTATGACAGAACTCTTAAACATGCTATGATTATACAGGCCCCTGCCAGCGCTTTAAACTGCAGGACTTCGAATGTGAGGCTGAGGACGCAGAGACTTCAGCAGCGAAAGCGGACATTATTGTCATGCAGCGAAAGGAAAGCAGGGTCTTAGCCTAAAGGTCCAAAGGACTCAATAATTAGGTACTCGGTTTGAGGCTAGTGGTTATGTAGGCTACGATTTTTGAAAGTATATGATAGTTACGTATTTGTATTCATCTGGGCTACGATTTTTGAAAGTATATGATAGTTACGTATTTGTATTCATCTGGAAACACGTGGCAAAAAGGAGCAGTTTCGAGGGCAAGGAACCGGATGATTGGCGACAAGCCCTCCGCTCCCATCCACTATCAAGCCCGTGAGGGCTACAGTGTCTAGCATGGACTCCTGACTACACCAGGCAAGCCCAAAGCAACGAGTCTGTAGCAAACTCCCGCCCCACCACGAGGCCTGCGCCACCAAGTCAGCGTGATCTTCGAACCTGGAGCTACTGCGCACCCACTCCGCAGTGACGGGAAACGGCCATCAGAGGTCGATAGTGATGGTGGACCCCCCATTTTTTAAACAAACCTTCGTCACATGGGGGTCTTTACCCAGAGGCCCCAAAGTAGTTCCTTTTTGGGATTACCTAATAAGATTCTATGTACGAACCCCAAAAAGGAACTACTTTGGGGCCTTTGGGTAATCATAACGAACCGCTGAAGTTTTCTACAAATCGTCTCAGATCTCAGGGGCTCAGAGGGATCGGCCATGAGGACGCTCAGGCAGCCGTCCACACGGACCGGGCTCCTCAAAGGACTGGTGCTTCGAGATCGTACAAGGGGCCTTAAGAAAGTAGAACAGGGCTTTTGGAGGGTAAGAAGTACAGTTCTAGTTATAGTTGTCGTTATAGTGAAAGCTATAGTTGTAGTATAGTATAGCACGGTACAGTAGTATAAGAACAAGTACAGGTACACTAAAAACCTCTGGGTGTCTTTGGGGTCTCTAGGATCACAAATGGCCTAATCCCGAACACACACAAAAAGCCCTTGACCCCATTACACTCAAGACAGCATTCCCTGACGGTAACCAAAACACGGTGAGAAAAAACACCTTGAAGAAGCAAAGTCCAGGATTCAGATCCTACATACGGACTCATGGGTTGAATGCTGAGAAAGAGAACAGTTGAACAAAGAAAACGCTGCAGAGACTAAAGAGCATATTGCAGGGGTGGACACCTTGCTATTCGAGCTCTGCAATAAGGCCCCGTATGTTCAAAAACTAACGGTTGGGATTTTCGGACTTCTGGTTTAATTACGGGCTATAACATGTTAGGGTCTCGCTGAAAGGCCGCGCTTCTGGCAAGTGGGGGACTCCCAGAGAAAATAAACGCGACGCGACGAACACACTCAAATTACCTCAGGCAGTCGAACCATGAACCAACACCCCGAAATCACCACAAAAAGCTGCTATAACACTTGCTGCTGCAAACAACTATATAGATCCCTGTTGCAACCTTACAAAGCCCCGAACCGGAGCTCCCGCAGTCCCGACCCGAAATCGGGAACTCGGGGCCCAAAACCCCAGATGGCATGAAATCAAAGGGGAAAAGAAAGGAGCCTTTATGGGGACCCCTACCCTATAATGGGCTATATAACGGGTATATAATAGCTATATTCAGGGTATATACCTAGGGGTCCTTATTAAGGGTCCCTCCTTTTCCCCTTGGATGAAAGAACCATCCGAGGCTCAGATCCGTAAACGTCGAGGTGATCCTGGAAGTGTTAGGGCATGAGGAGCTCGGAAAGAATCGGAGGGGTTTGGCGGAGCCAAATGACGATGATGATAGAAGCTATCAGCTTTCGGATTCCTTAGCATCCTTTACCATGAGCACACTCTGTGCCCTAATATCCCTAGTCTTAACGAGCCAAGGCCCCCTCTACTATATCCCCAGAAACATCTTCCAGCGTCGATGTGCTGCAGTCTTGTCCTCATGCCTAGCGGCTACGCTTTAGCGTCGACCCTGTGGGGCAGTCCTTGTGGTCGAAGTGCTGTGGGTCCCTGTCGACGTACTTGTCGTCAACGTGGTTGTGGGAATCGGTGTGCGGTGGAGTATGGGAAGTACAGAAGCTCCAAACGCCTGCGCGCCACGATAAGGTACGATTGCGAAGGCGGCTGCCTCTGGAGAAACGTCTGTGAGGCCCAAGTAGACGGCATACCAGGATGCGTCACAGCAGGTCAGCATTTCCGGCTGCCAGTCCGGCTTCTTGTCTACGCTGCCCAGCAATTCAAGCTGATCGCCGCACTCATTCAACAGCCACACCTCGGTATCTGCCATGGCCCACCTAGACCCTCCATCTACCCTCTATTAATCCCTAAATGCCCCTTATTTGGGACCATATACCCCTATTTGAGGGTACAAGGAGGGTCCTGGCAATGGGCTTAAGAGTCACCTTGAAGCTGCCTTTAAAGGCTCGACCCCGGAGTCTTTAACCATAAAATAAGAGCCTTAATAATTAGAATCGGGCTTGGGGGCCATTATACTATAATCATGATAAGGAACCCCGCAAAATATGGTTTAGGTTGTAGGGTTTAGGGTAATTCCTAAACCCTAAAACCGCCCAAAATAGTATTGGTAAGTATTTAGCCGCCTATATTACATGCTCGAGGCGCCTGGTACCCATCGATCACAGCCTCCTCGACCTCGCAGCTGGTGTTCGGGCCCCACCGCAGCTCCCCAGAAAGGCTGTAGCCAGAGTCACCGGAATCTGCCAAATACCTGAACCCAGAGACTCCAGTATCCCTTCATCAAGGAATATACCTTAAACCATATTAGGGACTACTAGAATTTGTGGCGAGCTGATGGCGCTTTCGGACGCATGTCTGTATTATTCTCAAAGACCGAGCCCGCGCCAAACTTTGGCACTGCGAATGCGCGAGTTAAAAACTGGAACACGTGAAGCCCAAAACCAAAGCAATTGTCCGGCCCCAAAAAAGCACATAAGCAAAAATGAGGATAGGGATATCCCATACAAACCCCCTTAAAAGGAAGGCCAACAAGGCAGGGATATCCCCATAAAATGCTTATGCTTATGCGCTTCTTGGGTCCCTAAAAATGAACGACCAGGAGACACGGTGGCGCAGCTGGTGCATGAAGGCTCCGACGAATCCTCACACCGCCCCCCAAAGACTAAAAAACGGTTTAGGGTTGAGGCCTTGGGAAAACATCCTTTCACGAAGGAATATACCTTAAAGGGTTCTTTTAAGGGATCGAAAGGGGTTGTATGAGGGAAGCAAGGAATATACCTTAAATCATACTATAGGGATCCTACTAGAATTAAAGGTATGTTCCTTAATTCAGACCTACTGGAATCTCTGGGTTCCCAAAACCCTGGCCTACATCCTACGCAACGTTGAACCCTAAGTCCTAAACACTACGCCGGTACGTAGACTAAACCCCCAACGCCTAAACCCTAAACATCCCTAAACCCCTAAGTCCTAAACACTAAGCCGGTAACACTAACCCCCCCAACGCCTAAACCCTAAACATCCCTGAACCCTAGATACTGCCCCCATACAGTAATAGTTTATAATAGCGCTACTACTAAAGTCCTAATAGATCTATATAATGAGTGTTGTTCAACTATTAATGAGTGGGGGCCGTACCCAACCTCAACCCTAAACATCCCTGAACCCTAAACCCTAAACCCCTAAACCCGGTTTCCCTAAACCCTAAGTCCTCCACCACCGTCGTGTTTTGAGCCGGGCAAAGCAGGCTTCCCTCCACTATTCCTGGACACGAGCCTTGGTGCCACGTCCGGTTCCTGGGCACAGGGTTTAGGGTTTAGGGTTTAGGGAGGCAGGAACTCAAAGATGCTACTAAAAATTGATTGAAAGGTTCGCTAATCTTGACAGGACCCCATGCGGATTGCTAAAACCTCAAAAACTCTAAACCCTAACCTGAAAACCATGAAACTCTACATGCTCAAAAGCAACAAGGTGTAGCTACTCCACTTACCTTTGGTTAGTAGAATGAAGTAGAATTATAGCTACTATTACTACCATTCTTCCATTCCCTACTGTTACTAACCAAAGGTAAGTCCAAAGCCCAAACCCTAAACCCTGACCTGAAAACCATAAAACCCTACAGACTCAACTCAAAAGCAACACAATGTATAGTACTTCAAGGTCCAGGTTCCGCTCGAGGCACCAGTCCTGCAGGCTCAAGTTCGCAGCAGAAGTACCCCGACTCCAATCAAGAAGCCCGAAACCCATCTTGAATAGTTTAGTAGCCCTAAAACCCTGCAAGACCTGTCGAATCATGTGAGCTGCAAATGCGCAGACCCTCGCCAGGGACCCACACATGTGAGAAGAGCTCAACCCGCGCAAAAGTAGACCAGAAGCTGTTTACTGGTAAGGCAAGAGCTCAAAGGGCAGAAGTGTTAAGCCTGAACATGCAAGCAAGTCCAAGCAAGTATGTTGCGATAATCGCAAACTCAGCCAGTTCGCGCCGTCCAACTCATTAAAGTAACCTATAACACGACCTACACAAGCTTCATACGAATGTTATGCAAGCCTACAGAAACGCTGTAACCCTTACCCTACACCCACGTCCCGAAGACCTCGGATGATGTGTTGTCGCAGTTCTCCACCGCTGGGGCACTCGCCCAGAAGCGCCGACACCACGAGGGCAAAGTACCTGGGTAGCCAGCTCCCAGCCCTTGCTGGCTTTGCGTTGAAGGGTAAGGTTTAAATGAAAATTACTGTATTGTAATATAACAGGGGTTTAAGAAGGTGACGTATCAGTTCCACTATAAGGTAGCTTAGTCATGTGTCCATAGAGGTTGGGTTCTTCAGGGTTTTAAGTTTCGGGTTCAAGGCTCTGTAGAGCAAGGTCCAAGATTTAGGGTGTGGGTCGTAGTGACTTGATGCAGATTGCTCGGGGGTGGCTGGAAAGTACTCGGGCTTGGAAGGGGTTCCGGAACTTTGGGGCTGAAGGTTCGGAACTTTGGGGCTGAAGGTTCCGGAACTTTGGGGCTGAAGGCGGGGAAGGGTTTAGGGCTTAGGATGGGTTTGCGCTCAAGGGAGCAGGGTAGACACTTTTTGCCGCGGTATGTGTGCGTGTGATCTTGCTCTTCAAGACGTGCGTACAGCGATAAGTTTGCAATCGAGGCTTGCTAGATATGGTAAAATATAGACCCCCGGAATAAGGCACCTCTGATCTTCGGAAGCTACCATAGACTTGGGGTGGGTTCCCTACGTGAGGTTCTCTATGACCATGACTTGCCCAGCCGTGGTGCTGCTTGTAGTCGTTGTGCTCGAGGTGGTGCCTTCGGCAACAGTCAGCAATTAGACATCAAATCCGAAAATCCTTCAACAACACTATGATGGTGCCGGTATCCACCATAGCACAGAACCCATCAACCTAAACTTTGTGGACTCAGTCTCCTGAATTGGACCGTCCATGCAATCTTAAACCTTACAAGATGCCTTGAAGTCGTCATTGAAGCCCCAAAATACCCTCATAAGCTCGAATAGCCTAGACTCGAAGACGGCAACAGGATTAGAAACATGTGAAGTCTGTTGCGGTATGTGGCATGTGGTGTACATCGAGTTTGGAGTACACAGCCAAGCCAGAGTTCGGGCTTGATGTAGGGGCCCTACTAATTAGAACAGGGTTTTGGGGGCCCATTATACTATAAGCGTAGCAAGGAACCCCTAAAATAGTATAGGAATTTAATGGTCGCTATTGAGGTCCCAATATTAGGGATTCCGGTTTTAGCGTCTCAGGGTTTCGAGGTTAGGGAAGGCTTGAGCGCGAGTCAGAGTCGAGCTACGAAGATTGGGCCACAATGGTACCATGCTACACGATATAAAAACAATATAGGACCATTTAGCATAATATCGTACAACATAACGCAAGGTAATAGGGAGTTTCCGAAAATTAGAGGTACCATATCTTGTTGTCCTTATAGTAATACGGATCCCACTATTTAAGGTTTTAGATTAGAGTCCCCCATTTTCGGACCCTCCCATATGAGTAGTTGTGAAAATCATGGCTGCTTTTTGACTTTGGGCGCCCTAAATATTAGGTGCCGTATTATAATAAGGACACAAAAAGGAACCATAATTTTGACAACCACCCATATAGTAGCCCTAAGCCCTAAACCCCTAAACCCTAACCCCTAAACCCTAAGCCCTACACCCCAAGCCCTAAACCCCTAAACCCTAAACCCTAAGCCCCTAAACCCCTAACCCCTAAACCCTAAGCCCCTAAACCCCTAACCCCTAAACCCTAAACCCCAAGCCCTAAACCCCTAAGCCCTAAACCCTAAGCCCCTAAACCCCTGAGCCCTAAACCCCTAAGCCCTCAGCCCTGAGACCTAAAACCAGAGCCGACTTCGAGAGCTCAGGAGCTTCGGCTGGAACTTGTGGTGGTCGAGCGGCTTGTTGTGCTGGAGGTACTGGAACCTTAATAAGGACCCCTAGGCCCTAGGGATATACCCTTAATATAGCTGTTATATACCCAGTTTATAGCCCATTATAGGGTAGCTTCTTAGGGTTTTTAGGGTAATTTTAAGGTACTGGGACCTTATTTCTTGGGTTTTGAATAATTTTTAAGGTGCTGGAACCTTATTTCGTGTGGTATTGGGGTATGAGAACCTTACATCTTAGGGTATTGGCTAGGGTATTGGAGCCTTATTCTTTCTTAGGGCATTAGGACCTCGGCAATGGCTTCAGAACCAGGCTGGTAGTCCGGGACCCGAAACCCCAGAACCTAAACCCAATCACCTGCAATGCAAAGCAGGCCTTTGAACTTACCTTTGGTTAGTAAGGAATGGAGGAATGGGGTACAATTAGAACTACGATTACTACCATTCTTCCATCCCTACTATCCAAAGGTAAGTGAAACGGCCCTGCAGCAATCAAAGTCGCAACTTGGCCAGGATGCTGCGGGAAGTTGAGCTGGACGAACTGGATGTCGATGTGAGGGTTTGGGTGGTGCTTGAAACCGACACCTGGGTTGCAGTTTCGGGGCCCTTAAAAGTATTTATGAATAGGTACCTCTTTAGGAGCCACAAGGGAAATCAAGCAGCTTCCGAAAGTGCCACCCAGAAACTGTTGTGCTGGAGGTGAGGGAGGTGCTTTCGCTCGTGCTGGAAGTGAAGCTCGAAGTCGATGAGCGGGACGTCGTAGAGGAAGTCGTCATGGACGTCTTGCTGCTGGAGGTGCTCGTCTGGCTTGTGGCAGTCGAAGTTGCGCTTGCGGTGGTTGTGGAAGTGATTGAAGTTGCTGATGACGTCTTAGATGTGGAAGTGCTGGTGGTTATCGTCCTGGATGTCGTTGCAGAGGTGGAGGTAGTAAAGGTTGCACTGCTGCTTGATGTAGTGGTCGATGTCCCCGAAGTGCTTGTCCAAGTAACCGTGCTGCTTAGTGTTTCTGTGCTAGATGATGTGATGGAAACAGTGGTGGACCTAGATGTTGTGGTTACGGTGCCAGAAGTACTTGTGGAAGTCACGCTCGTTGAACTGGTACTGCTGCTGACGGTTGTGCTGCCTGTTGATGTCGTGGACCGTGTGGCACTTCTCGTAGATGTTGTGCTAAACGTCGCGGTGCTCGACGTGGCAGTAGATGTGGCCGAAGTACTCGTGGATGTACTTGTCCTGCTTGCTGTTGTCGTGCCTGTTGACGTTGTGGAAATTGTGGCACTGCTCGTAGATGTTCTGCTAAACGTCGTGGTGCTTGACGTGGCAGTAGACGTGCCCGAAGTACTTGTGGATGTAGATGTTGTGCTTGCTGTTGTCGTGCCTGTGGACGTCGTTGACATTGTGGTACTTCTCGAAGATGTTGTGCTGTACGTCGTGGTGCTCGAAATAGTGCTGGAAGTGGTCGCAGAACTTGTAGATGTCGCTGTGATGCTTGTCGCTGTGGCACTTGCTGTAGTGGTGGAGGTGCCTGAAACACTCGTAGAAGTCTCCGTGGTTGACCTTGTGCTGCTTCTCGTGGATGTTATGCTAGAAGTTGAGGTGTCTGAAGCGGTGGTGGAGGTGCTCCAAGACGTCGTGGATGTAGTGCTTGCGCTTGTGCTAGCCGTAGTCGATGTAGCGGTAGCTGTGGCCGAGGTGCTCGTGAAAGTTGGGAGTGGGATGGTAGTGGAACTTGCAGTCATGCTCGTCATGGTGGTGAATGTGACCGAAGTGCTTATGGACGTGAATGTCGTTGATGTAGAGGTCGCGGAGATAGTGGTACTTTGCGTGGATGTTGAGCTGGAGGATTTAGAGCTTGAGGTGGAAGTCGAGGTGCCCGAAGCAGTTGTGGATGTCGTTCTGCTCGTTGTCGTTACGCTTGCAGTGGTGCTTGATGTTACAGTGGATGTAACAGAAGTACTCGTGGAAACGGACGATGTCGAACTTGTGGTGCTGCTGGTGGCAGTGCTGCTAGATGTCTGTGTGGAGCTTATGCTAGTGCTGGAGGTGATGGTAGACGTTTGTGAAGTAGTTGAGGAGCTGGAAGTTCTTGAGACTGTGGTGCTGCTGGCGGTTGCCGTGCTAGATGTTGTGCTGGAAGCCGTCGTGGTGCTTGCTGTAGTGGACGACGTGGCCGAAGTGGTCATGGAGGCCGTGGTGCTGCTTGTTGTGACAGTGAACGTGACGGTAGTGCTCGTGGAAGTCAGTGTTGTTACAGTTGTGGTGCTGCTGACCGTTGATGTTGTGGAAGTCGCCGTGTTTGAGGCGGTGCTAGAGGTGCTCGCAGTAGTTGTGAATGTTGCTGTGGTGCTTGTGATTGTTGTGCTGAGAGACGTAGTGGAGGTGATGCTGGTCCTTGTTGTCGTGGCGGACGTTGTCGTGACGCTTGATGTGACAGTGAACGTGACCAAGGTACTCGTGGAAGTTAGAGTTGTTCCACTTGAAGTGCTGCTAAGCGTAGCTGTTGTGGAAGTGGCTGTGGTCGAAGCAGTGGTAGAGGTGCTCCTGGTACTCGTGGACGTTGCTGTGGTGCTTGTGACTGTTGTGCTGAGCGACGTGGTGGAGGTGGTGCTCGTCCTTGACGTCGTGGTCGACCAAGTCGCGGAGGTTGACGTGATACTAAATGTCACCGAAGTGCTCGTTGAAGTCAAGGTTGTTGCAGTTGTGGTGCTACTCACTGTTGCGCTTGTGGACGTCGCGGTGCTGGATGCGGTGCTAGAGGTGCTCGCAGTGCTTGTGGATGTTTCCGTGATGCTTGTGACTGTTGTGCTGAGCGACGTAGTTGAGGTGGCCGTGGCGCTCGCTGTAGTGGTGGAGGTGCCTGAAACACTTGTGGAAGTCTCCGTGGTTGACCTTGTGCTGCTTCTCGTGGATGTTATGCTAGAAGTTGAGGTGTCTGAAGCGGTGGTGGAGGTGCTCCAAGACGTCGTGGATGTAGTGCTTGCGCTTGTGCTAGCCGTAGTCGATGTAGCGGTAGCTGTGGCCGAGGTGCTCGTGAAAGTTGGGAGTGGGATGGTAGTGGAACTTGCAGTCATGCTCGTCATGGTGGTGAATGTGACCGAAGTGCTTGTGGACGTGAATGTCGTTGATGTAGAGGTCACGGAGATGGTGGTACTTCGCGTGGATGTTGAGCTGGAGGATTTAGAGCTTGAGGTGGAAGTCGATGTCCCCGAAGCAGTTGTGGATGTCGTTCTGCTTTTTGTCGTCGTTGTGCTGACAGTCGTGGACAAGGATGTGGTCGTGCTCAGTGAGGTGGTAGATGTGGACGAAGTCATGGTCGAGCTTGTGGTGCTGGTGATGGTTGTGCTCCCTGTTGATGTCGTGGACCGCGTGGTACTTCTCGTAGATGTTGTGCTGAACGTAGTGGTGCTCGATGTGACAGTAGACGTGCCCGAAGTACTCGTGGACGTACTTGTCCTGCTTGTTGTTGTCGTGCCTGTTGACGTCGTAGACCTTGTAGTACTGCTCGTATATGTTATGCTAAGCGTCGTCGTGCTCGACGTGGCAGTAGACGTGCCAGAAGTACTCGTGGATGTTCTCGTGCTCATTGTAGTTGATGTACTGAGCGATGTAGTTGAGGTCGCTGTGGTGCTCGATGTGATGGTGGAGGTGCCTGATGTACTCGTAGATGTATCCGTCGTTGAACTTGTGCTGCTTCTTGTAGATGTTGCGCTTGAAGTTGAAGTTTTTGAACTGGTGGTGGAGGTGCCCGAGGAGCTTGTGGATGTAGTCATCGTGCTTGTGGCTGTTGTGGCGGATGTCGTAGTATGTGTGGCCGAAGTGCTTGTGGAAGTTGTGATAGTTGAACTTGTCGTGATGCTTGTCGTAGTGATGCTCGTCGTTGCCGTGCCTGTGGTGGACGTGGATGTTGATGTGCTTCCCGTGGATGTTGTGCTAGAAGTTGCACTGCTCGAAGTGCTGCTCGTGGTACCGGAAGTACTTGAGGACTTCGAGGTGCTGCTGGTGGTTGCTGTGGCAGACGTGGTGGTGCTTAAAGTTTTGGTGGATGTGATCGAAGTGCTCGTGGAAGTTACGGTTGCTGAGCTCGTGCTGCTACTCGTGGCAGTTGTGCTAGAGCTTCTGGTTGCAGAGCTGCTGGATGTTGTGGAAGAGACCGAGGTGCTCGTGGTCCGGCTGCTGGACGCACTCGTTGTAGAGGTCGATGTCCTGCAGCCAACTCTCAGCCAACTAAACTAATTTGGCATAAGCGCATGTCTAGCACCCCGTTACATCTCGGCAGCCCCAAACTACCAAAACCCTTCTCACCTCGAACCCCACTCTCAAAATCCCCGGTTGAAAAAAAACTAAGTGAAATCAAAGCCTAGGAACAAGCCTTACTATATAAACACTAGATCCAAAAAATCCAAACCCTTTTTGAATAAGCTCTGAACCCACAAATCCTACAGCCGAACTCTACACCCGCATCACATTATTCCTCATAGCGAACCTTGCAGTATCCCTCGTAGCAACCCTTAGCGTATCTGAATCCCTTGTATATAGCCTTTCGTAGAGTCAACCTTATCGACACCCTACTAGAAACCTAGTTCATGGTTGGGATAGGATTAAAAATGTACATGTTTATTCCTTATTGGGTTTAAGTACCCCCAAAACCTAAACCCTCCCAAGCTCCCGGATGTGGAGCTGGTCGTCACACCTTGGCGGACCAGTTGGGGCTCAGTTCTTTTGTGTCCCAGAGCGGTTGATATTTTGGGGGCCGCAAGCAGAAATGGAACCAGATTCATAAGGGGTTCGGGAGCTGTCGAGCGGTTCTTACGTTTATACATGTGCAAAAATATTCAAAACACATGCATGTATGCGTGTATATATATATACACACACTTATACATATGCTTACACATACATATACATATACATATACATGTACATGTGAGTTTGTGTATCTGTATAAAATGTATATATACATATGTACTATACTATACATACAGATAAGCATACATATATGAGGAGTGGCACATACACATGTACGTGTGCATGCATGCACGTATTATATATGTGTATACGTACGAATGTATGGACGTATGTATGCATTACATGTATATTGTTTTTACAAAGAACTTTCTCCTTTAGCCAGCATGTATGCATGCATAAGGTGCCGGCATGCTGCATGCACAGGTATGCATGTGTGTATGTACATACATACGAGCAAGTATTACACATGCGCATCGTGCAGATGGCGAAAATGGCCAGCAGGCAGCCTAGTTTAGCTTTTGATACTTAGGCTTCTCCTTTTGGCGTTGACTTCGGCTGCAGTTGGTTTCACAGGTTCAAAGCGTGCACGATTATCTACAAGGTGTAAAGGGTTCTGTATGCGTTCGAGCGTTCCACAAGGAATCGAAACAAGCTTTATGAAGGGCTACAAGGGTTCATGTGGAGTTCGGGACTCACAACTGGAACAAGCCGGTCGTGTCCTTCAACAACAACATAACTTATAATAAGAACAACAATACCAGCATGACAATAACGTCATGGCAATGATCACGCCAAACACAGCCGCGGAGGTTTACATACTTGGGCTCAGGAGGTTCGGGTACATGCTTGCTCATAACAAGTTTCAAAAGTATCGCATATGAGCCAGCAGTCACCGAATATCTGAGCAGTATATATGCAACAGTGGAGCCCGATCCAAAGAAAATGAATTGAACCAATGGCCTAGAACTCAGCCAGCTGCAAGCTGAATGGGATAGCGGCATACTTGCCGAGCTTGCTCTGCATACTATGAGCCCAATGCCAAAGGTATTGACGGAGGTCATGCTTCTTATGTTTCTCACTAGTTGCTTGAAGTTGAACAAAGGCGTAGGGCCTAGGGTTTCGTTAGGGATCGACGCTTGAGAAAACTGCGCTTAGTGATCTTCGCCACGGCTGCGATGACTGCCTCCCCTTGACAGAAATCCCATCCATCGGTATGACAAGGGTGGCGAAATATGAGCCAAGGGGCTGCTAACTGTGGAGCTGGACGTTGTCTGTGACGAAGTGGTGGTCCTCCTTCGCGATAGAAAGGAGTTACGGCTGGGCTGTCAATAACAAGGGCATGCAACTCTTCATTCAAAAACGCTGTGTGTCGTTAGAACAGGTTAACTCCAAGCGTCGTCGTCGTCGTAGTCGTACACTCCTGGGAGGTCGTTGTTCAGCTTCGAGGTGCATGGTTTGAGGGCTGCGTGGCATCGCGGCACTCTTAATATGTGTGGTTGCCAACATTATGGTCCCTTTTTGGGTACCCTAAACATTAGGTGCCGTAATATGATTAATAAGGATCCAAAAAGGGACCCTAACGTTGACAACCACCTAAATCAGAAAGTGAATCAACAACCACGACCTGCTGGTACAGTGGCCAGCAAAGCATCACCACTATAGCCCCTACATAATCCTACGAAATTTCACCCGCAAAGCCTAGGTCCAAGCATCAAGCCTCTAGATTCGTAATTTTTGCAAGGGGGAAGCCGAAACCCTCGGCCACAACGCGCCACTTCCAAGATTTTCTAGGGACCCCAAAAAGGCACCTAAACAAAAACCCATAAGGTTGAGATCTCCCACCATCCCCTCCTTAAGCCAGTAAGGTAGGGACATCCCACCCAAAAGTTTATGTTTAGTTGCCTTTTGCACAGACTTGTACCTCTCCACCTGGGGATCTTCTAGAGCTGCTGCACTCGTTTAGTTTCCTTAAACCTTATAAACCGCACATGTGCTTTTTGGGTTTCTGGTTTCCTGCTGTTTCTTTGCTAAGGGGCTGCAAGAGGTAACTCTCTGACCCGGACTCCGCCGGGTGCGTCGCAGCCTCTCCAAAGAGGCCAACAAGTTCGGAGTTTCAGGGAATCGGGCAAGGGCGTCTAAGGCTTCTATTACTTGAGTCGTGGGGTTTCAATGTCAGACCCAAGAGTATAAAAGGAATAAAACGGGAGTTTTATAAGGGAACCTGATCCCCCAAAAAGGGAATAAGGGCATACTCTAGGTCCTAGGTTCTTGAGCTTTTAACGCTTTACTTCGTGCTTCAGGGCTTGAGGACTCAAGGGCCCTGGTTGCAGCAACGAGGAAGTGTGCCGAGGACACACGGATAGGGCGGTCATGTTGCAGGTATGCTCGGACTCGTGCTGTGATTTGCAGGGATTCTTGAAGTCAATCTCAACCGCCTACTTCCTGCTTCTTGGCAAGCGCCCAACTCTTCTTCATAGTTCCGCACGCTGCAGCAGGAACCGAAATCTGAAGCCCCCAGCCCGTAATCTACATAAGTTCTCTCGCATCTCATCACCCTAAACCCTAAACCCCACACCCAAGCTTCCCCACCCCCCCGGCTCCCATGCTTCACCCCGCCCGGCCTAGCCGCGGTACAAAACTGCATTCATCGGCCGCCCAAGCGGGGCCAAGCAAGGCGAGCAGGAGGAGCATCCTCATTTGGGGGTCTCCGGAAATTAGGGGTACCTCATTTTGGTGTCCTTATCATAAGGATTCTACTATGTATTTAGGGTAACTATATTAGGGTCCCCTATTTTCGGAAACTCCCATCTGAATCTCCAAAGCTTGGAACTGATCATAGCAGCAGGCCCAACAAAAAATAATCAACAATTAAATCTGTACAATTAAACGGCCACAGCAGCGGCAGCAGCACGAGGACTGGCGTAAGAGCAGGAGAAGGAGCACGAGAAGTAGGAGTGCGAGTAGTGGTAGTGCTAGTGGTAGAGAGAGAGAGAGAGAGAGAGAGAGAGAGAGAAATCGACTCCTGGCAAGGAGACGGGCACCCGCGTTGTCTCCGCCCCGAAGGGTTAAGACGCAAACGGGGCATGGGGCTCCGCAAGCGTCATGGCCCCATGCGAAGCAGAGCAAACGCAGCAGCAGCAGCAGGAAGATGACGGAAGTGTGAAATCAACAGTATGCGATCCGAAAGCCGTGGTTTGATGATTTGCAACAAATCAGGACATCCTCAACACACGGTGCTAGGAGGTAAGCGGCGGGAGTCCTGAGGAGATGGGCCTTGCTGGTAGTGCTAGTGGTAATGGTGGTAGTGGCGGTAGTAGTAGCAGCAGTAGTAGCAATAGAAGCAGCAGCAGTAGCAGCAGCAGCAGCAATAGCAGCAGGAGTAGCAGCAGTAGCAGCAGTAGCAGCAGAAGCAGCAGCAGCAGTAGCAGCAGTAGCAGCAGTAGTAGCAGTAGTAGTCGTCGTCGTAGTAGTCGTAGTAGTCGTAGTAGTCGTGGTGGTGGTGGTGGTGGTGGTGGTGGTGGTGGCGGTAGTAGTAGTAGTGGTAGTAGTAGTGGTAGTAGTAGTAGTAGTAGTAGTAGTACTAGTACTAGTACTAGTACTAGTACTAGTACTAGTACTAATACTAGTACTAGTAGTAGTAGTAGTAGTAGTAGTAGTAGTAGTAGTAGTAGTAGTAGTAGTAGTAGTAGTAGTAGTCGTCGTAGTGGTCGTAGTGGCAGCAACAGAAGTAGAAGCAGCAGCTTCGCGCAGCAGCAACAAAAACAACAAAGAACAACAAATGCAACAGCAGCACTGCAGCTGTCCTTACTGCTGCCGGTGTGCATACTTTGCAGACCCCTGCAACTACGATGCAGACGGCTTCTGGCTTGTAACTACTTCACGGCCGGTCCACACCGGCGTCAATTGAAGGGCAAAGGCCATTAGCCCTGGAATGAAGCTTAGTGTGTGTTTCGGATTTTGCGATCATCACCTTCATATGTCATAGTCACAGAAAAAGAGGAAGCAAGCACAATTGTGATAGTAGCAATAATGAAAATAGCAAGCGCTACCCTCGTTCTAACAATATCTAACAAGTGCCATCGACATTTCACTTACAGCGATCGGTCGTGATCACGTGCCCTTCAGGATAGCTTCTAAGAAAAGACGAGGCGAGTCCATGTAGTAAGCTAAGTCAGGCCTCTTGCTTTCCCAGTCACCCTGCTTCCTTCAGGTAGGATGTTCAACCCTAAGATTAAAAGTAGTGTCCCTGTCCAAGCACCTGTAAAACACGCAGACATGCCCTGATTAACCGCTCATCACCCGGACCGCCCCTACAGGTACCTTAAGGCCCCGAAGTAGTTCCGTTTGGGGGCTCATATTAAGAATCCTAATCCCCCAAAAAGGGAACTACTTTGGGGCCTATGGGTACACCTGTGCAAAGCCGAGGATCCCTTTGGGAGAACCGCCCAGCCACCGAAAACTGGCTCGACACCAGCCCTCCTGTTGGA